TATGTCATGTAGAAGAGACGCTAACTCACTATTTTTTTGATTGTAAGAGATATACTGTAGCCCGGACTAACATGCTGTTAGAACTGCACTTTTTGGCTACGGTTAAGACTAAGACCTTGTTGCTGGAAGACAAGGAGAGGGAGATGGACGTACAGAAAGCGATTTTTAATGCCGTCAATAAATACATTCTCTTGACGTGGCGTTTTATGAGTTAAACTCTCGCTAATATTTTTGATGAAATGAATTGGTTAAAAGTTATTGCCTTAAGTGAATCCAATCCCCTTTTAACCCTCAGTCCGCCACCCTCTCCTACTAACCCCTTTTCTTTCTTTTTTTTTTTAGCCTTTTCGATTATGACCTCATGTTTATTCTTGTTATGACTTTCTTCTCTCTTTTAATTTTTTCTTCTTTTGTTATTTCGTGTTCGTGGCTTCGGCCGCTGATGCTGATTCTTTTTTCATTTTAATTTTCAAATAAAAGGTTTAAACGAAACGAATTTCTGGTAGAATGAAAGGAAATACTTAATCGAGAGAAGCAGAATATGTGCAGTGGCCAGTGATATTGTGCTCTATTCTCATCGTGTGAATGTTATCAGTCTTTTGTTCGATGAAAATATGAATAATATCATCGTCACACGGTGTGGGCTAAGTCGTGGCTTAATTCTGTCTTTCTCGAAGGAACAGAGCGGACTTCAGTATATATCCGAATATAAATATGTCACGTTCTAAAGATATTCAACTACATGTATCCTGGAACTTACGTGATTATCACTTCAGCTTAACAAAAAGTATTATTTATTCAAAAAATATACAAAAATTAGCATTTTCGCTAGGATTAAATATTTTGTTTGTTTCAATGAACCATCACCTTGTTTTTAATGTGATTCAGATTCATCTTTGCTTGATTTAATTCATGTCTTAATGAACGACATTCATTTTCAGCTTGATTTCGCAACTAAAGTGTAAAAGGAGAGAAAGTATATAAATTTATCGTGGTGTTTAAGAATGCATGTACCTTAACGTCCGTTGTCAACCTTAATTTTGCTTGTTCAACTTGATGCCGTATATCTTGGATATCATGTTGCATTCTTGTAAATTGAACACGAATACTCTAAAATGTTAGAAGTAGAATAATTGTTCAGATTTAATTAGATATAGAACTACGCAACCCCAATTTCGGATTCTTTCAAGTAACCAGTTTGTGCAGCATGTTTTGATTCCTGATCCATCGTTACGACTGTTTTTTTTTGTATTTGATCTAGATCAGTTTGTAGCTGTTGAACACGTTCTTCAAGTGGTGGTGACTTCTTTTTTTCATTGAAATACTTTTTTTTCCACATATCGCGAGCTAAATACATAAAATAGCTTCGTAAAGGAAACTTTCAAACTACGAATTACAAATCCTCTAGTAACGATTTTACATACTTTTTTACATCGTGTAGAATCACAGTTTTAAAGTTTTAGAACGCACAATTGTTGCTACAAAAATTTATCTGACTACAATCATTATCTTTCTATTGATATCATTTCTTCGAAACTGCTACAATTTATGAGTTACGATCAAAAATCTCGTTTTCACTGAAAGCGACTAGCACAACGTTCATGTGGGGTGCAGATTATTCTTATCTGGAACCTAAAAACTGATTACTATTCACAGTGGAATCGAGCATTTTCTTTTCCTTCTCTTTTCTTTTACTAAGATTATGATAGTATTTGGAATCAACATTAACGCTTACTTGCAATCACACAGCTTTCATCCAAAGACCAATAACAAGTTGGGATCTTCTATCATTTGAAATTTTCATATAAAGTCCTTGGAATATAATTTCTACCTTCCTCTATCCGTACTTTGTTTTTACAATGTCAAAATGCTTTTCAAGCCCCTCTAGTCAAAGCCTCAACGACTTGAGAAACGGTCTATTTCACAACTTCCTGCACAAAAGGCTATTTCAATCATTCGAAAAGTCTTCATTTCGAACTATTCATTTCCGTAACTAGTTTTACCCACTGAAAAGGCTCTCGCAACAATACCATTCTACACGTAACATTCTGAACTTTTTTGCAACTCTATATTCGAGCAATCGAATAAAAGACACTTACTTCCTCTATTTATGAATGCACATCGCAAGAAGGAATAGAAACGGTCGATTCAGCTACGGTCTTCCTGTAAGTGCGCTGCTGTTTGCTAAGATCAGAACGATTCAGAGAAAGGTAATATAGAGCTAGGAAACATCTCATTGTAAATAGCAAATAATTTTTTTCCTTTACCGTTAGCTAAGAGTTCTAAAACAACAAGTCCGTTTGTCACACGATGGCTGATGCGCAGAAAGAAAAGCAAAAAGTATTTTCAGAAAGAGCAAACTCTCTTAAATTTACTGATGGATGACAGAAAAGATATGAACTGTTAGCTTAGTGCGTGATTGTATCTGTTGGGATCCTTCCGCTATAACGTACCGCTACTATACTATTGTTCGCTCAAAGTTGGATGGAAATTGGCTCTGCTTAGAATCATAGAATATATGGATTTCTGAAGAACCTGATCCCTAAGATTTTCAAAACTTGCTTGAGGTTTTTCATTGAATTCTGAACTGGTTTCGGCCTAAAATCATATGTTAGCGTCAAATCCGTTGGAAAATTTGAGTTTTTAGCACTGTCTTACAATTAGCGATAAAACGTAAATACGTTATCATTCATTATTCAGTCTCACTCGTGGTTAGATATCAAGAATGTAGTATATGATCTTTTTTGTGAAAATGTCAATCGTTTTTATAACTTCACTTTTTACTTAAACTCCGGCCACTCTATTTCTTACATTCAGAGGATTAAGCAGGTTCCAGTTGGTGTTACTTGTCTTTCATTTGATGAGAAAGCAAACATTGACAGTGTACCTCGTGGCTTCACAAACGCTTACACTAGATGCTCTATCCTAACCACTCGTTCTTTATTTTAACGATCTTACATCCGTTAATTAACTACGGGACTTACTTACCAG